GGACGAAGAGGACTTCGACGACTCTTGCCCTCCGGGCTGCGACGCGGCGCTGTACGAGCACGTCAAGGAACTCCGGGAAAAGCGATTCGACCAGGATGAAGTCATTGCCGAATTGACCAAACAATTGGATGACTTCAAACGCACTTCAGATCGTTACTGCCAGCGGAAGAAACAATTGGACAAGGACCTCCTCTCGCTGGAGCGCGGCGTCCGCGCCTTCCAGACGGAGAAGCAGCAGCAGCTGAACCTGCTGGGGACGACGTGCGCGCTGCACTTGGACCAGATACACGTCTTCAACGACGTAAAACCCGCGTCTTCTTCGGCAGCGCGGGGCAATCTCAGGATGCGCATCTCTGAAACGGCCCCCCTCTGTTCGGTTCCTTGCCCTCGCAAAGGTCCCTCGAGAAGGTCCGAGGCCCCTTGCGATTGCCCTTGCAGAGTCCCGTGGACGGTCCCTGGGGCAAGGTTTCGCAGTAAACCGTACGAGGCCTCTGTACGGGCCCTCGCAAGGGCCCTCGTACGAACCCGTGCACTGCCCCTCGCACGGGCGCTTGCAAGCTCGCTCGTATGCTCTTCAACGCACGGTCCCTTGCAAGACCCCATGGCTCCAAAGCACCATCCTTGCAAGGCCCACAGGACCTTACAAGGCCCCTGCTCCTTGTACCGTCCCTTGCGAGGCCCCTCGCACTTTCCCTTGCGCCTCGCACGGGCCCTTGACCCGCCCCCGTGGTCGAAGCCCCCGCTGGACTCTCCGCGCAAAGGACTCTCCGCGCAAAGAGGGGCATCTTCTGCAGCGTGGGGGGCGGGCGTGTTTTGGCAGGGGAGCGTCTTCGGATGCCGTGCGGTACGTCGTCGCCATTGTTCTCACTCTCAAGGTAGGCCGCGCCGGACGCGGGCCCCGCCGTCTTGCCGTGGAAGTCGGAAACCGACTCGGCCAGCGACCAGGCGTATTCCTCTGCGCAGCTGGCGCCAAAGGCTGGGCTGGACGGGGCGGTGCTGTTTTCGAGGCGGCGGCTCGATCTTCTGAGGCAGCGGATTTCGGGCTTGGCGGCGGAAAATAAAATCGCGCGACTCTCTTTCAAGGACCTGCACCGCGCGCGGGCGGCGTCCATCTCGGGCGTCTATTGCGCGGAGAGGGTCGACAGAGGCACTTTTCGCAGACCGGGCGCAGACCGGGCGCAGACCGGGCGCAGACCGGGCACAGACCGGGCACAGAGCCTCGACGCAGGAAAGTGCCCCGGCGCCACCAAAGGGGCACTACAGAAGCGTAATCGCAGAGAGGCCCCGCGCGGTCTCGTCGGTTGTTGCCGTTCCGTGAGCGTGTTTATAGGTGCCAAGGTGCGTCTGGCTCGTTCGGCGGCTTCCCGCGCGAACCAGCTCGCCGCGCTGGCGGCACGGTCGGCGGATCTCCAGCTGCTCAAGTTCGGGCGACTGATCGAGCTGGACAAGATGGACCGCGATTCAGCGGTGCAAAGCCGCGCCTTGCCTCGAAACCTTTCGACTCGCGGCAATACCGTCAGGGGGGAAACTTTCGATTCGAGGTGATTCCGTCGAGGCGACCCCAGAGGCGATTCGCGGGAGAGCATGCGCCGCGTGCCTCGGTGGCCGCCGCGGCTCAAAAAGTACCGGCTCAAGTCGTTTTGCGCACGAGTCGAGACAAGCTGCAAACATCGTCGATACAATCCGCGACAGGTCAGCGTCCGCGAGGCCGCCGCGCACTCCGACGTCGACGCCCTGGAGCGGGGCCACCGCGTGGCCGCACAACAGCTGGAGGCGCGGGCGGCGCAGCTCAAGCAGAGGCTGGTTGAACTGACGCTGATTAATACAGAAGCGCTGCAGGTCCGTTTGTGCTTTTTGAATCCGAAATTTGAATCCGAAATTTGGTGGTTTGCAGGCTACAGTGGAACCCGAACCCGAACCCGTCGTCGTTACTGTCCCCGATGACCCTGTGTTGACGTTTTGGCGTAGGCGATTGCGGGCCTTTCTCAGCGGCAGTTTGCCGTCGAAGGAAACTCCACCAGCGGAAAAAATAAACCCACAGTCCGCGACGCGGCCCCGACACTGCGGCGCGAGATGGAGGAGCGGAACCGCTTGGTGGCGCTCGTGAAGCTGCAGGCGAAGGAAATCGACGCCCTGAAAGTGCGTTTTTGTTGTCAATGTTTTTGGTGATTTTGGTGATTGCCGCCTTTTTTGTTGGTGGTGGGTGCTGTCGTTGCTGCTGCTGCATCTGCCGCCACACCTCTCCACTTTTTTGATTAGGCGGAGATTAACTTGCTCCGGCGCAAGGGCGGCCACGTCTACGTGCCCGTGCGCGCGGCGCAGAGCTTGGACAACGCCCAAGTCCCAACAATCGAAAACGTCACGCCCGCGCGCGCCTACTAAAGAAACTGGTGCATCCGGGCGGGGGAATTCGTTCCCGTCGCCCTGAGCAGCGAGCCTCGTTGGTTTAAGTCGCGAGGTTTGCTCGGCGCTCGGCAGTTGCGTAGTCAGTCAGTCAGTGATTACCCATTCATAAAATTGGAAGCTGGGCCGCACACGTTGACGCTCTTTTCAGTTGCGTAGTTTGGTTAGGCCCATTGGGCGACTGCAACAAGCGGAGCGCCGAGGTTTCATAAACGGGCTGCCAGCACTCGACTACGAGGCTGTTTCGATCGAGGGTGGCCACGAAGGCATGCGTGAGCCTCGAGCAGAAGGAGGATCGGCAGGTCAAGTGCCGGATCAGAGGAACAACGACGCGGTTCTTGGACGCGTCCTGCTCCGCCGTGGACCCCAGCCCGGTCAAAGGGTGATGACTTTTGACACTTTACCCAGAGCTTGACGACGGTGATGACGCCGTCCGTCTTATCACTGCGGCCAGCCAGGACCGGCGCCGTGGTCGCAGAGTCCGGCTCCCCCGCGAGCATGGGAAACGCCCGGGAAACATCGGAATCGCGCTGACGAGGCCTCTCGTCGCCCTCTGGGTTGCCGCGTGGGCTATTGGTGTATGGGGTCCAGCCGGTCCCAATATTGGGTCCCATGGGGCGGCGGGGTTCCAGCAGGCGCGCGTCGCCCCTCGCGGGCCGCCCAACCTTGAGCCAGGGCCACGTCGAGGTCCTTGTTAGCTTCTCTTAGCGCCTTCTGGGCGGCTCGGCGTCGACAGCCTCGGGCTCGGCGGCTCGTCGTCTTCGTCGTCGTCGGATGGCCCGCCGAGCCCTTGGTGTTGCCCGCGCAGTTCCGTATGGAACCCAACGGGGCCGTATGGGGTCCAGTTTACCCAATATGGGCTCATGGGGCCCCTATGGGGCCCCTTACGGCAGCTCAGGCGTCCCGAGGCCGACCTTGCGAGCCGCCAGCGGGAGGACGCTCTTTCGGGAGAAAGATTGTCCCGGAAGGGGCCTTTTCCCTGCCGCCCGCGTCGACTTGCCCGGAGGCCCGAAGAGGCGCGCCCCGACGCGGAGACCGCGCCGCGCGAAAGAAGGCTTTCAAAATTAACGCCCATAACCGATCGCCAAATTCGATTAGTTGATAAAAAATAAAAATAAAGATAATAACAGATTAGATCAAATCTTTAGCGGCCTGAAGAAGTCAAGTGGCGGCAATAAGACTCTTTTTAGTACACACACGTCGGCGAAAACACCGAATAAGTTCGGAAAATACGTAAACACACACGAACTTCTGGCGCGGTGAGCGCGCGCGGATCACATGGGTTCACCTTCAGAGTCTGACCACGCCGTCTTATAGGCTCGATGCCCACGCATGACGATTTTGGGGGCACAAGCATCGCTGCGTGTGCGTTTTTTGATGGGTACATTTTGCACCTTGCTGGCATCGAGTCCGAGGGTCCCGAGCACGCATGCCTGACTCCCCAATTTTGCATCAGCGTACGCGCAAGGTGATGCCCGAGTCATTCACGCTCCTAACTTTCCTCGAGATCGAAATAATGCAGTAAACACCTTTAGGCGTCTTTACGCATGCTCTTATCCCAGGCACTTCATGGAACCCGCGCCGGGAAATTCGCGGGTTTCAGAGTGCAGGGAGCCAGTTTGGGTCATCGACGAGCGATCTGCGAAGTACCGGTGGGCAGGACCGTGAATTGACGACACCCGACCCCAACTGGCAGGCTCACGTTTCCGTCACAAATTGGTGTCGACCGAGCGCTCGCAAACAGCGTGCCCGACTTCCCAATTTCAGCTCAAGTTGCGGTTCAGCCGTCGCCGCTCCCAAGAGCGGCGCCTACGAGCGTGCCGACGATGGTGGCTCCTTTCCGGGATATTAAATCAAACCCTCACGCCTCACCCCAAATCGGGACCACGCTGTTTTTTTGAGGACCTGAAAAAATTCACGGCTCCACGATGATGACCCCCAGGATGTTCTCAGCGCGCGCGCCCCCCCGGAGGGCGCGAGTGGCGCGTTCGACGCGCAGCCTTACGGGCCATACTGAGTACCAAAAGTTTACTGCCGTCGCGCGCGAGCGCCCCGCGGCCCTCTTCCTCCATGTTGCGGGCGGCGCGCGCGCGCGACGGTAGTACACTTTTAGTACTCAGAATGACCCGCAACGCTGCGCGCCGAACGCGCCACTCGCGACCTCCGGGGAGCGCGCGCGCGCTGAGAAATCACTACGGCCCAAGAAGGCTTTCTGCCAAAAGAGAGGGCTAGGAATTCCTAGAACCTAGGAATTCCTATAGGATTCCTATAGGATTCCTACTAGGAGTGAGAGTCGATAATTGAGTCGATTTTGGTAAGGCACTGGTTTTTGGCGATTTTAGCAATGAAAAATTAAAAAAAAAAATGATCGGAGATTTGATCAAAAGATGAACAAAAATTGGGACCAAAGGGGTTCGAACCCTTGCCAGTAAAACTGATGAGAGCTTAAAACTCACGTCTTGGACCACTCGACCATAATCCCGCGCTCCGTGCTCACCGAAATATCTATCAACACTCGCTCGACAGCGTTGTAATTAATCATGACTCTGGATTCGATACCTCGGCAAAAAAAATTAGGACCAAAGGGGTTCGAAAAATGGGACCAAAGGGGTTCGAACCCTTGCCAGTAAAACTGATGAGAGCTTAAAACTCACGTCTTGGACCACTCGACCATAATCCCGTTTTTCCACAATCGCTGAAATAACTGTCAACTTGTTTGATGATATGTGGAGGGGCCTATTAGTATATATACTCAAGATTTAGAGATTTGACGCCGTTGATGGTCGACCCACCAAGATGCGCTCAAGCAGCGGGTGCTCCTGTGCATGGGCGAGGGCCGCCGGATTTATCCCAATCCCAACTTCGAGCAAAGCACTCGCATATCAGGGATGGATATGAAATATGGGAGCAGGCTTCCACGACGCGCGTCGTGGACTTTGCAAAGAGTGGACTTTTGCAGTGACTGTGGCAAGGAAGGAGCTCCACAGATTTTCGTCGAAAAGAGGACACCGAGTCTAATTCCTGGCGGATGGATGGGGCGCGCCCGACTTTGGACGAGGGCCTACGGTATAGAAGCCCCTCTTGAAGTTCCTTGTCACTGCACGTCGAGCACGCTCTCACACGGAACACCGGAAAAGAATGCGATTCAATCCCAAGCGCGATTGGCGGTTCGTGGAGCAATTCCAAGCCGAGTTTCTTCCCTAGGGACCCGTTGCTGCTTTCGATCCACGCCCATGGTTGACGTTCGTCTGCCGGGAACCGCGTCGAATGGGCGTTTGGAGCCGATTGCAAAGGGCGACCACGAGCTCGGTCCCACCAAAAAGTGCGAGGCCGGCAAACGTCAAGACTCCGTAAGAATCGGGGTACGTCCGATCCAAATGTCCCCGAGCCGCTGCTCGACCTCCGAAGAAGCCCCGGTTTGGAGCCATTCGTTGCGTATAGACTTGGGTACGCCAAGCATCCCAAGTCGAAATCAGCGGACCCTCGAATTCCTTCGACAATGCAATCGCCCCGACAAGCACCGTTGAGCACAGCACCACTCTCACAGCAGGAAAATGAACCGAGTGATCTCGCGTCGAAAACAGTGCCGATCAACCACGTCACCAACGTCGCCCCGGCCTTCCGAGAGAGAGCATACGTCGGACTGTGACTCACTGGCAGTGTCTCTGGAAAACATCCTTTATAATAATAAACATCCTTTATTATAATAAGAAACATCCAGACCGTGAAGAGCGCCCGAGCTCTGAGAGGCACCCAGACTGCAGCGTCAGGAATACCTGGACTGCCGAGACCACCTGGATCGTGAGAAGACCCGCAGGTACTGGACTTTACGGGACTTTACGGGACTTTACGAGACTTCGCGACATTTTAAACGGACTGTATAGGACTTCAGAGTACTTTGCATGACTTCACACGACTCAATCAGACTTAACTGGGCTTTGCGGGGTTTTACGGGATTTTGAAAATAACCCGGATCGAATCGTCCGAAATACCCGGACACTCCGGAACACCCGAACCGTGAGAGACGGAACACCTGGACCGCCGGAAACATGTGTTGATCGCCCACCCGCAGGTGCTCCTCCCTTGGCTTTTGAGAGGGTCCTCTGCGCTGTTGCGAAGAGGGGGGCGATTTTGCCACGTTTCGACGCGATTTTTGGGGTTTTAGCCGCGCAGTGTCCACGTCGACGAGGCGACGATGCAGGAAAATACTTATACAATACATTTTGTGTGCCTGACGGATTTTTTTTTACGATGCCGCTTGCGCCCGAGTGGGGGACCCATTGACCCGCGACGACAACAGTCGATATTTTTGCGGTGGTCCGTATTCCTTCGTGCCACAAAGGTCGCCTGGGAAGCTTTCTACAGGGGCCCCCGTAGGGGGTAAGCGGGCTGAAGGGCGCCTACTGAAGGGCGCCTACTGGAGGGCGCATACTGAAGGGCGCCTACTGGAGGGTGATCACTCCTGTGGCGGCCCTGCCTCCTCTGGCGGCGCAGCCTTTGTATGCCTCGCATCCTCCGTTTGCGCTAATACCACTTTCGTTTCTTCTTTTTTTCACGTCTCAGTATCACGTGAGGTGGCTTATAGTTTCCTCACCCCTCTGCAAGCGCCAATTCCTTTTGTTCCCATCTCTTCGTATGTCTCATGTCACTTAAGGGCATTAATATCTCACCTATAGCTGACGTGAGTAGACCTACAAGTCCGTCTGTATCGCGCACGTGTTTGTTCTTTTGTGTTTACTTCCTTTCATTCATCACATCTTCATCAGGCAAACGCACCCGATTTTCGTACTCTACGTCCATGATCATGGGCGAGTCTATGGGCCCGAAAACACACGTTTTAGTCGCTTCCCAGCGTTTTCTTACTTAACACCTACAAAAGCTTTTGCGTGTTCGTGCCGTCACACGCGCTTGGCGCGTCGTCCCGACGCGCCACGCTGCGTCATCACACTCACCACAGAACCGCGGTACTTAGGTTAGGGTCACTACAAGTCGCTCGGTGGCTCGCCGAGGCTCTTTTGGGCCGACGTTTTGGCGCTGCTTACTCTGAAAATGTATTACTCTGAAAATGTGCAAGATATCACAGCGTCGCCCAAGCTGCGTGGTCGCCCAGGACACGGAAAGACCGTCCGAGCACCGCCCGGCAGTGCAGCATCCCGAGTTTCCCTCGTGCATAAATGTCGCACAGACAAAGCGTGGCGTCTGCGGTCCGACTTGCGAGAAACGATGCTTCCGTACCCCAAACCACTACGGTGCGCCCCCGCTCGACCCCCGGCGTCGGTGCAGCCCCGGCGGGGGTGGTCGCAGGGGACTTGGCATATGGGACCTTTGCACAGGTCCCTGTGTCAAAGGGAACCTTGGCACAGGGACTTTGTCAAAGGGGACGTTGTCAAAGGGGACTTTGTCAAAGGGGACTTTGTCACAGGGACCTTGTCACAGGGGACCTTGTCACAGGGAGGCGCTCGGCAAGGCCGCCCGAGGGGCGCTTGAACCAAAGTCGGCCTTTCGATGGGGTGGCGGTGCGGCCAGTAAAACTTGGGCCGTGGCTTCCGCCGGGGCCGGGGCCGGAGGGGCGCTTTTGAGGCTGTCCGACAGAATTTCGTCTGGTGGCTCCGACGCAGAACCCGCGGCGTCCGCGGCGTTGTCGAGCAGTGCGAAGAGTTCGAGGCGGACGTTTTTCTTCTTTGACGACGGCGCGGTTCTCAAACCTCGACAACGACGTCGACGTGGCATTCAAACGCGTCGCCGGCCGCGATTTCATACGAAGAATCGACAAGGACGGCATTCCACCCTGGCGCGGCGCAAGGCCCTTGGACGCGCCAGTCGCAAGCCCCGTGCAGCACCACCAGAGGGCCCATACAGCCGAGATGCAAACTCGAAACAAGGCGCTGTGCCGAGTCCACGTCGCCCCTATGATGCACCCTGCTCCGGCGAGGCCCGCAAAAGACGTCAAAAAGCGTGCACGACTTTTTTGTTCAGCGAATCGGGACGCCTTTTCAGGACCGGCTCTGCGCACGTCGTTCATCGTTTAATTGTCGTTCATCGCTTGATCTGCACAAAGGCGTGCGTGGAGCACTGCTCCGTGAGCTCGTCGTGCAAGAGCCGGAGCAGGGCTTTTTCTGACTGGAGGAAGAGGATTGCCGCTTGGGGCCCGTGGCCAATCGTTTCGTAGGCCGCCAGCCTTGCCGCCAAGACGTCTGCCAAAGCGAGGACGAGGTCCAAGCCCGGCTGCTGCGGGATGGGGAGGCCGAGCTGGATGGCCAGGAAAGTCTACACAGCGACTGGTCAGTCGATCGATTTGTGCGACTCGGGATTCTCGGCATTCCCCGTACAATCCCCCGTACAATCCCCCGTACAATTGCCATTCCAATTGTACGGCATCGTGCCACTCGAAGCAGTTCCGGAGACCGTCTCGGTCCGTGGCGGTGAAAAGGTCCCCGTGACAACGTCCCCGGGACAACGTCCCCGTGACAACGTCCCCGTGACAACGTCCCCGGGACAAGGTCCCCGGGACAAGAACGCTCGGACAAGGTCCCCGTGACAAGGTCCCTTTGACGAGGTCCCCTTCGACAAGGTCCCCTTCGACAAGGTCCCCTTCGACAAGGTCCCCTTCGACAAGGTCCCCTTCGACAAGGTCCCCGTGAAACGTTCCCGTGACAAAAGTCCTTTTGAAGACGCCGCTGTGACCCCTTTGCCAAGGTCCCCTTTGCCCCGGTCCCTAATACCGCCCCCGTGCAAAGGTTTCAAAGGTCCCTGTGACAAGGCCCCTATGCAAAGGTGACCCTCTGAGAAGAACCCAGCGCCGAGGTCCCCGTGAACCCAGAGGCAAAGTCTGTTCATCGCTGGAACGACGCCTCGCCGGGCCAAGGTGCACTTTGCCAACTTCTTGCCCGTGGCAAGTGCAAAGGCCTCTCACAAAAGGAGTCTCCAGGTCCCAGGGCGAGGAGACCAAAGTGGTCCCTTTGACAAGGCAGCATCCTTGGGGCACCGCCCGGGGAGATGAAACGGCAGGGGCGTGGCCAGGATGGTCCAAGGGGACGCGGGTGAGGACGTAGACGCGTTCCAACTTGAGCGCATCTTGGGAATCTCCCGGCTTCAAGCACGCCCGCAGCACGCCGCTGCGGAAGCCAGACTGCTGCAGCGCAGTGCGCAGGCGCCGCTGCGAGGGGTCCGTCAAGTCTGCGGTGGGGACCTACCGGATTTTGCGCTCTTGGGCACGAGGGGGTCTTTTTCGGCACTTGGGTCGACGCGTCTCTTCGACGCGTGCATTTTCGGCTCTTTCTTCGACGCGTGCATCCTGAGCCGCCGTGGAATCCCAACTGGCCCGTATCACATTCAGGCTGCATGGGACGCGCCCGTACGAGCATCCTCGCGAGGGACGTCGACAAAGGGAACGGGCCCTCGAGAGGCCTCGATCACGGGCCCGTACACTCTTCGAGGGCGCCCGTGCAAAGAACCCTCTTCGAGGGGGCGCGCAAGGGACTTTGCCAGAGGCCTGACCCGTGAAAGAGGCCTTGCCCATGAAAGATGCCTCGCCCGTGGCCTTGCAAGGGGCCTTGCAAGGGGCCGTACGAGGGACCGTGCAAGGGTCCGTGCAAACGCCCCTGCAAGGTGTCGGGGCTGGTCAAGGGGTCTCGCACGGGGAGTGTCCTCCACCGGGCCTCTCGCCGCGCTTCTCAGAGC